TTGACAGTCAATAGTGAAAATTTTCTGTTATTGACAGGATGGTCCTGTCAATAGACACTTTCAAGCAAGGAATGATTATGTTTACCGAAGGAAAATATATTGTTTTTGCTCCATTTCTTCTTCTTCTGTTCCAAACACTGACCTCTGACCTGGCCAATGGCCTCTTTTGTTGATGTCTGTCACCATAGTAACTGGTGTTGGGTTACATAATGTTGCAATTTAATAGTAGGCATTTAGAGCTGCATTTAGACTCCTGTCACCATATACATGTTTGTGAATGTGTTTGAGAAAGATTTAACTTGATCTGATCTTGTTCGGGTACTGCACAGCACCCCTAAATTGGGGTAAAGCGTGCAGGGGAGCAGAGCAGACCATATCCGAAGGTAAACATTATGTATTTGCTTTGCAAATGTTACTTTTCTAGTTATTATTAAAATTTGGTTCGACCAGGATGCGCCGTTTTGGGAACTTTCCCTGCGACACCTAGCGGCGCACTGCAGTCTGGCCTGTGACATATATCCCAGCATCCCTCTGAACTCCAGTAATCCAAGATGGTGGGTACAGATCGCTGTTTCTTGTTCTATCTCTTTATACCACGCTTTTCCTGGCAAAACTCACGCTAATTTGACGTATCGGAAATTGAAAAGTAGCCAGTCGTGTTTTACTGATGTTTCTTCTCTTCTAGGGCGACTTTTTGAGGGGATTACCGTCGTATAACCAGACTAATTTCACCCGGTTTCACAGCGAGTCCGGCGTCAAAACCACGGTATAAAAATATCCCTGTCTTCTACAGTATAATTTACGCCTAACGTGATCTGGTTGTATGTGTTATTTCGAGGGATTATTTTAGCCGATCTTAATCTTTAAGATACTCGGACATACATGGGGAATATAGAGGATCCGTAGCCTGCTCATTCCACAGTGATATTTATCATATGTTGGAATTTGTCGTTTGTACGTACGTCACTCTACAAACTACTACAGTAGCCCCGCCCCACGCCTACATTTTCTCCTACGAACTTGTCTCTTACAACCTAATTCACCAATTTCACACTTCCCATAATGCCTAGTAAAAGTCACGGATATGACGTATGACCACCCCCTCCCCCTTCCTCGATGTAATATTTCCAACAAGTTCTATCGACAAACTGGTCAACTATTGTTTTGAATTATTTCTCTAGTATAAAGCGCATTCCATAATTGCATTTTTGTTGGAATTAGAGAAAATGACGTACCTTCTATTGTTCTAATATACGTAAATGCGACCGTGCGAGTAGGATAGTCTTCGGTAGAAGGTGGAACGATAGAAGGTACGTCATTTTCTCTAATTCCAACAAAAATGCAATTATGGCATGCGCTTTATACTAGAGAAATAATTCAAAACAATAGTTGACCAGTTTTTTTGATAGAACTTGTTGGAAATATTACATCGAGGAAGGGGGAGGGGGTTGGTCTTACGTCATATCCGTGGCTTTTACTAGGCATTATGGGAAGTGTGAAATTGGTAAATATAAGTTTCTAAGTGATATATAAGTGATATTGTACAATAGACAGGGCTCGAAATTTAAGGTGGTCCAATGGCCACTGACCACTAGAATTTAGGCTGGGACAACTAAAATTAGTAAAAAGACACTTTGGGACATTTTGGGGACAACAGAAAAATAATCAACATCAGAATGTCAGCCCTTCTTTTCTGCCCTCTCCAATTTTTCTGTCTACACTGCAGTTATAGTGTGCCTGGGAGTGAACATAAGCAAAATAAAGTTGACTTCAAGTTGAAGTCATACAATAATTCCCCAAAACAGGTTGGGACAGTTCATCCACAGTGCTGGGACGATAGGAAGAAACGTTAATTTCGAGGCCTGAATAGAGATAAGAGAATACAAACTTTGAGCACTTGACTTCAAAGTAAATATTCTAGAATTCATGTCCATTGCAAGATCTTTAGATCATACAAAAAGTTATGTGATAATGGTGTTTGTTAATACATTGCATGTACTATGTATTACATGTGTGGTAGTTACTAAATTAGACAGAATAAAGGTTGAACTAATTCCTCTTAGTCTAAATGTCCAGATGGTATCCCTTTTTCAGAGTCGGAGACCACAAGTGTATCTCCCTACCACTGACCATCCTTCAGAACAAGGTAGGTTTGTATATAGTATATAGAATACAACACGGGGTATTCCGTATCGCCCGGGGTATCGGCCTGACCGCACGTCGGATCGCCGGGACCGAGGGTGATGGGGAATACACCGTGTTGTATTTTTATTTATGTCATACCCACCCAAGAAAACGCGCCTTTCAATGCAAGATGAGCCATAAGTTGATGCCCCTGAACCCTCGAAATGCAACAACATCAATTCCAATGTTCAGATTCTGTATTCGAATTTTCGAAAGCGGCGCACATGGTTAGGGCAAAACGCGTTCAAATCGTTTTATGGAAGTCATGGAATCCTGGGCCGTACCATAAAGTACGGCCCGGTCCGGAACCCGTTACCGAACATTATCGCGGCCCGGGTATGATATAAATACTGTTACTATGAACCTGGTTACCAGACCTATTTTAGCTGCCGAGTCTTTAAAGGACTTTAAAAGACTTGGGAGCTAAAGTGAGTTTGGTACTAGTAACCAGGGTTTGTTACTGTACCATGACTAACATATATATAGCTGTTGGTTTTGAAGATATGGAAAGACTATGAGGTCTACATCACGGTAATAATCTTTCCTCTATATTATTATGCATGTATCAAGTAGTATCTTGATATCACCATTGTAAAACGACTTCAAATGTATCTTTGTAGACCTGTAGCCAAGGGAACTTAATCATATAAAGTTTAAAACTGTGCCATCTTGTCGGTCCTTCAGTGTCTTGAGCTGACCCCTCTTGCTCTCCATCTTTGATGAGGCCACACCAATTTAATTTCTTGGTTAACGGATTCGCCCGCTTCATTTTTTTTGATTTGCAAATAAAGATAAAAATTCAGAATCAACTGCAAAATGCTCATATTTTGCCCTGAACAGTTGAAAACAGTCCTTTTCATCCTAGTTGTTACAGTTAATCCATCTTTCAATGCAATGGTATCATTAAAAGTTCAAAATTCATTGTTTAAATTTTGAATCAGCCTGGTGTGTTGACTTCATGGCTCCTATCGTACCATTTTGGGCCATAATAGGATGCCTAGGCCTGTTTTTATTTTTTATTTTTATTTTCGCCCACCCGCTCTATTATTTTTCTAGAAAAATCCGTTAACCAACAAATTGAATTGGTGTGGCCTGAAGTATGATTGCCATGGTCATTGTTATCTCATCTCATCATAACAGTTATCACAACAGAGAAGACCAACATTTTACTGCGGTACCTGCACCAACAGTGGGATAGAAAAGTAAGTGGAGCATTTGTAACATCGTCAATTCCAGTGTTCAATTTTTTTTAAAAAGTAGCGCACTCGGCATGCATTCAAATTATTCTATGGCACACTTGGAAGCCTGTGTGATAACCAAATAGAACCCTGTTTGATAAACAATTATAACCCCTTGTGATAACCAATTATAACACATGTAATAACCAATTATAACTTTGTGTGATTATCAATAAGAACCCTGTTTGATAACCAACCCCATGTGATAACCAATTATAACCCAGTGTGATAACCAATTTTAACCCAGTGTGATAACCAATTATAACCCAGTGTGATAACCAATTTTAACCCAGTGTGATAACCAATTATAACCCAGTGTGATAACCAATTATAATTTAGTGTGATAACCAATTATATTCCAGTGTGATAACCAATTATAACCTCATGACTGTGATAACCAATTATAACCCAGTGTGATAACCAATTATAATTTAGTGTGATAACCAATTATAATCCAGTGTGATAACCAATTATAACCCAGTGTGATAACCAATTATAACCCAGTGTGATAACCAATTATAATCCAGTGTGATAATCAATTATAACCTCATGTGATAACCAATTATAATCCAGTGTGATAACCAATTATAACCCCATGTGATAACCAATTATAACCCCATGTGATAAGCAATCATAACCCCATGTGATAACAAATTATAACCCAGTGTGATAACCAATTATAACCCCATGTAATAACCAATTCCTGTGTGATAATCATTTATAACCCCATGTGATAACCAATCATAACCCAGTGTGATGGAACAATGGCACATTTCTTCCTTCTTGCAGAATGCCCACAAAAAGAGGGACACCTCCAGAGCCAACCTAGATGATGATGATGACAGTGGTGACCTCACACCTCCCAAGAAAGTTCCCAGATTAGGACAAATGGAAGAGGGCAACAACACGTAAAACTTCGCTTCCACGAGTAACTGGGAACAACAGAGGAAATGTCTACAAGCTGATAGCCAAAGTCTTCATTGCTTAGTGCAGTGGAGTGTCAGGCCACACCAAGTAAATTTTATGGATGACGTCCTTTGGAGACCCAAAATCTAATGCGAGAGGGCGAAAAAAAAACAAGAAGGGCCCTAAAAAACAAGATGCCTAGATAAGAAATATTGCACTGCTGACAGGACCGCCCTGTCTGTTAATAGTTCCAAAAACCGCACTGTTTTGGAGCTATTGACAGGATTTTTTTCAGTGCCATTTTTTTTGGTTTTTTTTCATTTTTGTTTCCATTTTTTAACCAGGCACAGGCTTTCGGCGTTACGGGTTTCACATCAATCTGACGATTTGCGGCACTGTCGTGACTCTTTGGTCATAGTTACAGGAAGCGGAATTTCTTGTTTTTTTTTCTAGGAACAGGCCAAAATCAATGCGTGCGCGGACGTCATCCATAAAATTTACTTGGTGTGGCCTCATTAAGGAGAACTTTTGCTGGGTAGCTTCTTGTCCTGGTTAACTGGCAGTTGCTTTTGATGGCTGTGGACATATATTTAACAGAAAGCCTTTGAAAGCATAGTTTCAGTGTTTGCCATGGGAGCACAGGCTACGGCCTTCAAGCATATAATTGATACATTTTGACAGAACTTAATTATGTACCAACTTATAATGTACAATCTTTAATATTTGGCTATGATGCACCTTTAGTACTGGTTGAATTGATAAGTTAATGTCAACAGAGTAAACAGATATATGTGTTATTTAAATGTATACACAATAGTATCCAATTGTATCCAATTTTAAAGGATAAGGCCACATCGACTTAATTTTATGGATGACATCCGCACGCGCATTGATTTTTGCCTGTTCTCAAAAAAAGAAAAAAAGATCACATCTATCGAGGCTCTGGCCTGGCTAGTCCATGGTAGTTAGCAACAATGCAGAGCTGGGCACCCAGGCTACCGAAACTCCACGACTCAAGAACTCAGTACATACATGCACATACAGTGTCAATTGATAAATCCCGCAAAAAGCCAGCATGTAGCGGTTTGACATATACGTTGCTAAGTACTGCCGCAAATTCACAACACAAGCTTTGTATTCCTGTGGTTTAGTAGCATTTTTATTTTTGGCCGGACTTTTTTTTTATTGGCCTACGCACACTAGTTTGGGGGTCTTCATAGGATGTTATCCATAAAATTAAGTCGGTGTGGCCTAAGTTAACATTGGTTATTGTGGTGTTGGGGAATTTATACATGTATGTCAATGAATATCGTTCATCATAAAACCAAGACATGTCTGATATTGTTGAGCACTGCTCCACTACCTGTAACCTTTCTTGGAGAAATGCCAAGAAAGTTATTTTTAAAGATGAAGGAATCTTTTTCGTCAGGACTGAATGAACTAAGAGGATATCTTTTAAGTATGTGTAATATGGAATATAAATAGCAAAGTTCATTTATTTTTCACGAGTCGACGTTTCGATGACCGTCTGTCATCTTCATCAGGGCAATTCTGACTGGTTTACTGTGCACTGACGCTAGATGTTACTTGGTGCATAGTGCACTAAAGGTAAGTGCATAGTTCACTATGCTTTAGTGCACTATGCACCAAGTAACATCTAGTGTCAGTGCACAGTAAACCAGTCAGAATTGCCCTGATGAAGGTGACAGACGGTCATCGAAACGTCGGCTAGTGAAAAATAAATGGTCGTGATCAAAGAACTTTGCTATTCATTCGTTTACCAACCTGATGAAATTATTACGGAAATATGGAATATAGTCTAGTCTCATTTGAAAAGCAATGGTAAAAGAAATGAATCTACTTTAATCGTAGCACTCTGATTCTCTGAGCACTCTTCGGCAAGAAGGTTAAACTCATTTTGAGTATACAAATATTAAAAAAACTTAAATTGCATGAAAGAACTTTAATTAAATTATAGTTCCTGTACAAAGTTCTCTCCCACCTTT